ATATTATATAATGATATAAATTATATATTCATTTATTTACAGTTAATAAATGAAAACAGTTAATAAATGAAGAATAGCTGCAACTTTAGAATAATGTCCCAATAACATATATAAACTATTAACTGATACTTAACAAGTCTTTAGTAAGTAATTTACTAATTTATTAGGTATAGTTATAAATCATATTAAAATACAGTTAACAAGTCATTTATAACTTGTTAACTAACAGCTTTTATCTATTGGCCATCTACAAGGCACAGTTATAAACAATTAACAAACAACTTAACAAGTAATTTATAACCCATTAATTAACAGTTTATTAATGATCTATTAACTATTATAACGGATAGTTATAGTTAAAGTGTTACCTCATATAACAATAACTAAATTTTGACCAAAATGTCACATAGAACCTTGTAATTCCAAGGTGATGAAACAGCACACTACATGCACTTACACACTCAACAGCAAGTATATGTATGTAGTGTCGTCCCAAATGGAACATTTTTACCAAGTGCAATTCAAACCATTTCCTCTGACGTTTGGCGATTTGCCAAATTAGTGAAATAATTGAGCAAACTACCAAATAATACATGCCATGAGTAACCGCATTCACCACCGGGAGGCGCTTTAATCACTCTCATGGGAGAATTTTGCTTTCACAGACCATTCATTCCTTCGGCTTAGTGCCCTATTTATCAGGGGTCACCACAGCGGAATGAACTGCTGACTATGTTATGTGCTGCGCATATGTTTTACGCAGAAAATGCCCTTCCGGCCACAACCCAGCAATGGAAAACACTCATACACTAACGCCAATTTTGTTAACTCAATTCACCTATAGCGCATGTCTTTGGACTATGGGGGAGACCAGAAAGTTCCGCTTCTTACTTTGTGTGAGCAAAGAAGCGGCCATTAAGTGCTTGAGGTGTCCAACACTCCACACTGCATTTTAATGGCTGAATGAGTGCATCATCCAGGTATTTAAAGTGCACTAGAATTTCAGTGTGAATGCACTGCTTACTTATACTACAAAATGGCATAGAATGGCGAGTATGCATGCGATTTGGGACATATCTTTTGTTTTCAAAAGAACTTTATAAATGTTTGGAACCACTTACAGTCGAGTAAATGAGCTAATTTTTTGTTTTGGGGTGAACTATCTTTTTAACTAGAGAATGTAAATGTGATAAAGTCAAATGTGATTTTTTTTTTCTTTTTTTGTTTAAATTTTTACATTCAGTTATAAAAAGTTTTTTCTTTTCTTTTTTTTTTTTGCTTTCATATGAATATTTCTCTGTCCCTTTAATCAAAATGATGCACAGTGTAAAGGAAATGTCGTTTAGGTGCCAAAAAAGATGCATTTGAGTCTCTGACGCACTTATTTTATTTTTTCCATTGTTACTAGAGCTTGAATGGCATTGTTTAGTCTTCAAAACTGAAATAACACCACTTGAGAGTGATTTCCCACTATTATTTTCTTGCTTTCATTACTTACTTGAATGATGAGCCTGATTAAAAGTTGCGTCATGGCATAGCATAATGCTGTATCACTCATTAGCAAACACACTACAGCAATATCAGCGCCTCTCTACACTCTCATAAATAAGGGTAACGTTAGGCTACAGGAGCTGTCACTGGGCCAGTACCTTTTCAAAAGATACATAT